AGCTAGCCGCGGGAAAGAGAGAAAAACAACTCGCGCGGCCTTAATTAAAATGCTTAGGGGTTAGAAAGCGTGATGAATGAGATTGCCGGGGCCGTACACGGGACGCGGCAGCGCGTCTGCGCGGCAGCGGCCGAGAGAAGAACTCTATTAATTATTAGATGACACCGAATCCATTATCCGGGGACGAGGAGCGACGAGCAGGGTCCTCGTGGAATAGTCTCTCATTCAGATACCATTAGGAGGCCCGGCCAGGCCTTTTGTTCCTGGTCGTCGCGCGAGTTCCTCGCGCCGCCGCGCCGCGTGCAAAACACAGTTAATTATTGGGACGAGGACGAGAGAGGTAAGGAGTGCCACGTGGGCAGTGCCCGGCTCGGTTATGGCTCCAGTTTTTAAATCCGCGCATGGTCGTTTCATCTAGGGCTGCCACCAACCCCTCAGCCTCTTTCTTCGACCTCTTTCTCCGGCCCCCGTTCCTCTTTGTTCACCACCGACAGGTTAAACAATGTGTCAAACTTGATTGGAGAAAAATGGAAAAATTGGAAAAATTGGATTCCAATCCAGTTCGAAAATTGGATTGTTGAATTGAGTTTGAGTTGATTTTAAGGGTAGTGTCTTTGTAATGGGGTTGGAATGGATTTCTTTATTAGAGGGTTAAGATATTGAGGATGATTGGAGAAAATAGGACTGTGGATTCGATGGGATACCAATCAATCTGAAGCTTTGGATTATTAGTAAAACGAATATGGTTCGAGAAAACTTAAGATCGAGATGTTCGAAAATTGGATTGTTGAATTGAGTGCGAGTTGTTTGTGAAGCTAGTGTCCTTGAAACCGAGATGGAATGGATTCTTTTATTAGAGGGTTAAGAAATTGAGGATGATTGGAGAAAATAGGACTGTGGATTTCATGGGTTTCCAATCAATCTGAAGCTTCGGATTATCAGTGAAACGAATATGGTTCGAGGAAGCTTAACCCTTTGCGGACGGATATCGACATTTCGACTAGATGAAATTTTCGTATTTGGAAGACTAAGTCGTAAACAGATGATTTAATTACTCAAATAGCAAAAGATCAGCACGTACTTTCCTATTTTTCTATTATTCAAGTAATTGATATATAATTTAGCTTCATCTATTGAGGATTTTGTATATTTCAAAGAATCTCCGTCCGCAAAGGATTAAAAGATCGAGGTGTTTGAAAATTGGATTGTTGAATTGAGTTTGAGTTGTTTTTAAGGGTAGTGTCCTTGAAACTGAAATGGATTCCTTTATTAGAGGGTTAAGAAATTGAGGATGATTGGAGAAAATGGGACTGTGGATTCGATGGGATTACAATCAATCTGAAGCTTTGGATTATCAGTGAAGCGAATATGGTTCAAGAAAGCTTAAAGGATCGAGATGTTCGAAAATTGAATTGTTGGATTGAGTTTGAACTGTTTTTAAGAGTAGTGTCCTTGAAACTGAGATGGATTCCTTCATTAGAGGATTATGAAATTGAGGATGATTGAGTGATCGGACGGTCCGAGTCGATTTCAATCGAGAGACAGATAATTATTCTGACGTTAAATTTCCATACGGAGATAATATAATTCAATCGTGTTCCCGGGTCACTCAACGGGGACATTGATTGAAGATGATTGCGCGCGGATTAATTTCTACGCAAGACACTTGATAGCGCGGGCATTAAGTGACTTCATCGCGATGACAACACAATACAACATAATTCAATCCTCGATTCATCTATTTCCTAGTTAAACCACATCCGAAATCACACTCATTAGAATGCACGATTCAAGGTACCGGCTGGTCGCATATTAATTTATCCACGGTCGCATGATCATTAACAGACCGAATGAGTCGCAGTGACTCCAGCGAGTACATCGGTCCGCGTGCTTCCCGTTTCGATTTCACGGCTAAACAATATTGCAAATTGCACCCGTTTCGTCGGATGACTCAAGATAATTACGCGCTCCGCGATCGTCCCGGCGAAGGGTTAGCGGAACAGAGATCGGATGACTGTATCGCGATGACTGTACGACGATGACGTACGGCTGGAAGAGAAAAAGGAAGAAGAAAAATTATAGATTTCATAGAATAATGTGCCAAGGGAGCCAATGAATGAGCCGGCGCGCGCGTTTATGTAACCGACTTTTGTTCTCTCCCATCGTGGGAAGAAAGCTGC